CTCCCCTTACTATAACAATTCAGGCATCACTAAGCTGCGTGGGAACCTTGGGACAGTAGCTGAAGAGACAGTTCACTTGCTCTACTGGTCACACTTGGTGTATGGGGAAACCTGGAAAGAGGGGCTGTCTTTGTGGAAGGGCCCAGGGCCACTATAGGCCTCTGCTTCCTGCGAAGAGTGCATAGCTGGATTCATCTTACCACTTGCCACAGGGCTCCTCCTTTCAATTCCCTATCCTTTGCTGGGCTCAGGTGAGCACCCACCTCTTCTTCTATTCTCCTGTCCTTTTCTCACCTTATTCCATACCTGCCAGTCTCTCTTTTTTCATGAGGCCCTGAAGCTAATGAGTGTCCTAATCCCTTTTCTGCTAATTTGGTATTCAACATTTTTATTCTAGTACAAATGCATCCTGGAGCCTTCTCTGGAGCCTTCCCTTTTGTCACTGGTATTAGACTTCTGTCAAAGAATGGCCCCAAGTTCTTCACTGATTAAGGTTATAAGGTATACCAGATGTGGCCCAACCAAACAGTAACTTTCACTTCCTGGGCTACCGGCAGGATTTTTTAAATGACAGGTAGTGTCACCAAGTAAGGTTGTACAGATTGTTCACTATACAAGAGCTCCTGGCCAAGAGGCTGAGTCAGGGCAGACATCTAGCTCTCCATATGCCAAGGAGTACATGTTAAGGGTTTTCCAAATTCTTTCCAAGTTTGTACAAAGTTGCTTTATGGATTGGCAGGAGCTCCATCCTCCTCTTTTCCATGCAACCTCCAAATTCTCATTCAGTAGGTGCAAGGTAGCAACTGGGAACATGCAAGTTGAAAGAGTTCTCAGGTGACAGTGATCTTAGCCAAGACTGGGAACCAGGCTACAGACTGCACAGGTTCCCATACAGCTGGAACGAAACCTTGATTAGCTGTAATACCCACCAAATAGGTGTTCTGGTCAACTGAAGTCAGGGCAGAAAGGAAAAAAAACAAACACCAACCTGTTTCTATCATTTCTAGGAAATATTTTATAAAGCAGGTTAGTCCACTACTCTGAAAATACACATCTATTTTCATAAAACTCATTGTATTTCATCTGGAATTTCACAATAATCATTTTCAAAAGCCAGTTTCATTTTATAGCACAGTATGGCGTGTGTGTGCACGTGTGTGCGTGTGTGGTATGTGTGTATGCATGTGTGCAGCAGAGGTGTGTGAGAAGCAGCCTAGGACAGGGCCAATATTCGTGTTAATATTTCTACTGCAGTCTTTTGGCTTTTGATAAAACGTTGACTAAAAATGTCAATAAATGAAGGTTTCGAATAACCACATATTAAAATGTGCAAGTCCTTTCTTTTGGAAAATGGTACATTTTGTGGGGGAGAGTAGCTAGGCTATCAAATGCAACTTTTATTTGGCTCATCTTCATAGTACCACATTTTGAAGACTTGGTATTTTACCAAGGTAAAATAAAACTATCAGTTATAGTAGATACTTTAAAAATGTCAATTTCTTTAGGAGAAAAAACCAAAACATTACACACTAAGGTGAGGTTGTGACTGGTGATGAGCCAAGAGTAAGAACCCAGATTTCCTTGGCCAATGAAACTCAGAGGTCCTCAATACAGGCTTAGTAATTTCCTCTGGCAGAGGGACGAAGCTCTCTTGCCTTACTCTGGCTCCAGACCCTCAGTGTCCTGAGTGGCTGAGCCCATTGTGCTGTCTTGTTGATGTGGTGAGGGGAAGAGCCCAGTCCCTGTGTTTGATTTCACTAATTACCTCACAAAAGTCTCACTGTTACACTACACCTTGTACCCTCTCCAGTGTCACTTAGCAAGTCACCTGGAGCTACAGCTACAGGGAAGACAAGAAAGAGAATCACTCACTTCCCCAGGCTCACGTTAATGATTTGGCCCCTAATCTGCCTCCTAAATGAAAAGCAAAGCTTTCTTTATATTAAGAAAGGTCCTAACAAGGAACTAACTCAAACAAGTTTATTGGTGAAAAATTATGAGCCTAGCCAGTGTTAACAATGAAACAATGGCCTGTGTAAATAATACACAGAACCTGTTCTTTCCTTGTTTAAAAAGAAAAAAAAAAGCAAACCAATTCTTGGTCCAATTGTATGGTGTTTTGAGAAAGTCTGGAACTTTCTCTTCCTCCACATCTGTTTGCTTGTATCAAATGTGTTCTGTAAGTGTGGGAGACAATCACACAGCAAGCTTACACACAGACAGCTAACAGCTCACACAGAAGACCCAGAGGAATGCATTGGGACAACTAAGCTGGCCTAGGAACAACAAAGACATACAGGTCACAAAGCAAAAAAACAGTGGGCAACAAGAGACAGAGTCACAAGGCAGCAAAACTTCTTCCCTCTGGAGAAGTAGACCACTTGCAGATGGGAAGAGGATTACAAGATTACATTGTGTGACAAAGCCACTGCATTCCTGCAGGAGCTTGGTAGGTCCAAGGCCAGATGCGATAATTTGGCTTACCCCATGACCCAGACTGTGGAATGCAATGAACACATTTGCTGACTGGCTTCAGGCCAAATCATCTCTTGCTTTTCTCATGTATGCTAGAGTGTGTCTTTCATAGACCAGTTCTAAGTCATCAAAGTGGGAGACACACAAGTCTGCTCAGGAACACCTCACATTCTCTATAAGATAAAATTCTGAATTTTCCAGAAGAGTAAACATGCTGTTTTGCCTCACTGTGGTCACTGATAAATTAGTACTGGTCAGTCTATTTGAAAACTGCAAGAAGCCTGCTGAAGTCACAAAATCTGCCTTAATCCCTGGTGTGATTAGTAATGGAGAGTTGAGAGAACCATGACTTTCATATTGTAAAGTCAGAGTTTCACAAGTCAAGAAGGAACCACAGGGTCAGGGGACCTTATATCTGTGGGTAGTTCCTATTGACAGAGAGTGAAGTCTGCTGCACAGCCTTGGCCTTTTTCCCAAGATAGCTCTGAGATACTTGAAATCAAGCACATGACAGTTAATCTCAGTTTGCTTCCATCAGAGGTCAAAGAAACTCTTGACCAATTCTATGGGACTGACATACAACATTGAAGAGGTTGCTGGTGACAGTGACATCCCATGTTTATCATTCTGAAATCTTAATACTCCACAAATTGACCTATGGAGTGAATATTCATTAAATTTATACCTTGTTTCATTGTTGAAACTGACATGTTGACCCTAAAATTCAAATTGAAATTCAAGGGACCCAAAATAGTCTAAATAACTCTATATTTATCAATTTTAAAACTTCCTCCAAGGCTACAGTATCCGAAACAGTATAGTGCTGGTGTAAAGATAAACATAAAGACCAATGGGACAGAATACAAAGTCAAGAAGTAAAACTTCTCACATCTATGGGCAATTGATTTTTGACAAGGGTGGCAAGACAATTCAATGGGGAAGGAATACTCTTTTCAACAAATGGTGCCAGGACCACTGGATATTCACATGAAAAAGAGTAAAGTTTGAGTCCCTTAATCATAGCGTGTTAGAAAATTAAATCAAATGGGTCAAAGAACTAAATGTAAAGCTAAAACTAGACTTTAAAAAAAAAGCATAAGCTTAAATCGTTGTGACTTTGGATTAGGCAATTACTTACCAAAAGCACAAGCAGCAAAATTTTAAAAATAGATAAACTAAACTTTATCAGAAGCTTTTCCACTACAAAAAGAAAACTGTCAATAAAGTTAAAACACACATACATACACAGACACATCTCAAAAAATAGGGAGGATAGCTACTCAGGAGGCAGAGATCAAGAGGATTGTCGTATAAAGCCAGTCTTGGCAAAAAGGTGGTGAGACCTCATCTCAACCAAAAGTTAGGCATATTGGTACATGCCTGTCATCCCAGCTACATAGAGAAGCACAAATAGGAGGATTGCACTTCAGGCATAAAGCGAGACCCCATCTCTAAAATAATCAATGTAAAAAGGACTAGCACTGTGGCTCAGGTTGCAGAGCGCCTGCCTAGAAAGCATGAGTCCCTGAATTCAAGCCCCAGTACTAACAACAACAACAAAAAAAATGGGAGGAAATGCAAATCATATATCTGATGAAGGATGTTTACCTAAATATAAAGAGTTATTATAACGCAACAATAAAGACAACCTGATTAAAAAGTTAGCAAAGAATCTAAACAGATGTTTCTACAATGATATACAGACAGCCAACAAGTACACAAACAGATCCTCAACATCACTAGCCATCAGGGAAACACAAAGCAAAAACACTAGGTTGGTTGTAATAAAAAGGGAGATGTGTTGGTGGGGGATGGAAGCTGGAAGCCTTCCATGTTGGTGGTGGGAATACAAAACAAGCCTGCAAGAACAACAGTGTTTTTGCTCATGATTTACAGACGATGAAGATGGTGCTAAATGTGCAAGCAAGCCTGTTTATCATGAGAGAAAACAACCTTCTTCCAGGACCACTGCTTGCTTGATAAACTTCTGAGCTAAAATCACGAAGCCACATAACTAAGGAGAAATTCTCAACCTGGGGTTAGAAAGTCTGTATCAGCTATGTTATGAATTTGTCATACTTAAAACACAATTGTAAGAAGGACAAAATTTTAAAACTCTTATTTCTAGAAAAGAAAATTTTGCATATTAACCTATCTATATTTGCATAGGAATATTAGTATTTACTATTTTGTCTCCCTAGAGTGACCCTAGTTATATTTATATCCTTAGGGTTTATTTCACACAGGTCTTACTGAGCTCTTCACAACAATTCACATTGTGTCCATCTTGCTTGCCTGTTTTCTGGCAAGAGAGCCTTCCATGTAATCTCAAGGGAACTACCAAGTTACAGATTAATTAAACCTAGCAATTACATTTAATGAAAATAATGTGACTACTGGAGTCCTTCTATATTTTCTTTTTTCTGAAAAGTTGACTTGTGTGTGTTTCTTTGAGGGAGCAAAAGAACATTCCTGGGCATTAAGTTGGTGGGTTTCCCTTTCAAGTAGTGGCCCTTGACTCTCACCTGACCATCCAGGGAGGCAGCGGCAATGGCCTGTGGTGGGGTGGCAGCCGTCTGCGTGACTGCAGTCACAGCGCTCAGCGCAGCTCAGCCCATATGTGCCATCCTGCAAGGAAGATGGTATCAGAGACAGCAAGGAGAACCTGGGAAATCCCATGACAGTGAACCAAAGCCACTTAAATGCTTAAGCCATCACCCTTAAATGCTTCTCAGAAACATGTACTACAGCCACCTCTCCTTGTGCTTCCTGGTTCCTAAAATGTAGGTTCCAGCAGGTCAGAGATTTAAAATCGCCCAAATCCTATGTGTGACATAAACCAATTATGCCAATGTGCTGAAATGTATATACATGTAAATATACCACTTCTTTTCTTGTCATAGCCACAACTCATAAACATCTTTTGTTTCAAAAGATGTCATTACATAGCTCAGTATTCCCTACAATGCATGCTACTATTTAGTGAACACGGTGGGGCTCTAGCCCACATTTAAAAACCATGAAATGAAAAAAATTTTAGTTCTAATTGAATTGAGTTCATTTCCATAAATTGTTAATGGGATACATGGTACTATAAAGAAAAATGAAAATCTTTTGTTACTTTTCCTTTCTAAGAAATACATGAAATATTCTGATTGAAGAGCCTAAGTATCATTGGCACCCCCTCCTTACCTGCCCCTCCCAGAACTTATGTTGTCACACTCATTTCAGGGTGGATGGTCCAACAGAAATGAGACTCCTGGTGAACATGCTCATTTTACTTATGGGAGAAGGATGAAAAGGGCTGTGTTTGCAGGGAAACTCTGCTCTTTCACCCCACATCCTGGAAATTGAAGGAGGATAACCTCCTTCACATCACCCTAGCAGTGATGCACAATCACAAGAGTGGGGGGGGGGTCTCATGAGTTCCAGCATTGGCAGGCAGAGAGTATTAGATAGCATAATCATTTGTCTGGAACTTTTTAAACTAAGAAAACCAATTAAATCACATTTTAGGCCTCAATAATGTTTGATAAGGCTGCATAGGAGTTAACTCTGATGCAATATGAACCACTGAACCTTCAGCCTTCTCTAAGTTAATAACACATCTAACTACAAGAGGAAAAGTTGTACCCTGACTTTGCTTTGTCCACAACAGGAAGTGAAAGGTGACCCTCTAGCCCATCTCCAAGTGCTGACAATGTGCTCCTTGGTCTGACAAGAGACCACAAAGCTAACTTTACTTGTCCTGGGAGGTTTGAGGGCACAGAAGAGCCCAGGGTGGGAAACCTCTCTTCTCTGGGAAATGGGTTGTACTTAATGAGGCAAAGCCCTAGGAAAGAAGAGCCTCTGAAGAAGCCCTTTCTCTGAGGGTCACACTGTTATCTTGCTATCTGATGATGTCCTGGAGGCAGAGGACACACATCACTGGGAGAATGCTGAACAGCTCGAGAGAAGAGCACTACTCAGGCAGAAAGAGTGCTACAAATACAATAACGAAACCAGCCAAGTGCTTTGGAAAGAAACTAGGAGGTTTGCATTTCCCACTTGCACCCTCCATCAGCCTGTGGTATATTTGGTAGATAAGAATGTGGACCTCCAAATTAGGTCAAGGGAATGGACTGAGAGTTGAGCTAGGGAATAGGGAGATTTTTGTGCCTCCAGAGATATTTACTTAAATGATGCTGTTTCTAAACCTTTCATCACTTCAACAGACAATTCTGTGATACCAGTCACCACCCCCTTTTCAGACCTTTGCCACTTCCCACCCTAAAAAGGCTCACGATTTCCATTATGATGCGAACAAAATATTTGGAGAGCTGACAGGCATACACTGGGTGTTTGACCAATGTTGCTGACAAGCTGCCATGAAGAGATGGGTGTATAAGAAATGAAATGTTTGAGTGGGGGTGAAGAACCAGGATAGAAATAAAGGAAAACAAGGAAGGAATTCTCACAAAGCCAATCTAACTGATCTCCATGTCTATTCCTTTTCCAATCCCATGTCCACCTAAATTCTTGTAATAGTTGCTCAAGTTTGGTTCACACTCTATCACTTTCAATCAGGAACACCAAACCTTGGGTTTGGCCCAATCTTGGCTCTGCCCAGCCCGAGCAGACATACCTGGCAGGGAAGTTCGCACTTGTCCCCATGCCATCCAGGTGAACACGTGCAAGTCCCGTCCAGGGTGTTGCAGGCTCCCCCGTTGAGACACTGGCATGTTAAGTTACAGCCAAAGCCCCATGTGCCACTGGGGCAGCTGATGGAGCAGTCCACCCCATGCCAGCCTGCACAATAAGAATGTCAAAGAATGTGAGCAAACAAAGACACAGAGAGATTTGCTGAACCTTTCCAAGCCACGTTTCCCTGTAGACACATCTTGGAGATGAACAGCAGTGCCTCCCGGCCCAGCCCCAGCAGCAGCCAGCCTTGGCTCTGCCACAGACTGCCTCCATCAGAAGTGAACAAAGGCACCCCAGACGACTCAAGCAGCTGGGTGTGCTATGTGATCTGTCAAGGATGCCAATGCAAAGAACCACCACTGTGCTACTGAGGAACACACATGGAGTGGGATCACCGTAAATGGGCAGCGATGCACAAAGTGGAATGCCGAGTTTTGTTCTGAGCGGGAACCTGCAATATTTGTATAGAAGGGAGAGGAAGGTTTGTGTTTGAAAAAACAACCCTATCTTTGAAACAGGACCCCATTAACCATGAACAAAGTGTACTGAAGATCCTGACTGCATCTACAGATGGACATATTCTGGCCTAACATAAAATCTGTGCTGGCTGCATTTCTTGTTAGGACTCCAGACCAGTCAATTTAGGGGCACAGACACATGTCTGCTTGTTTATTCTTTCTAAAAGCACAGACTCACAGACTTCTAAAGCTGGCAGAACTTCAGTGTTCATCTAGTGTGAGTCTCTTTCATTGACCCATGAAGAACTCGGCCCACACAGGGTGAGGGGGGGGTGCTATGGTCAGTATTGACTTTTTGGCAGAGCTGGAACTACAGCCCTGGGCAGACTTTTTCCTTCGACTTTAGGGGATAACAGGATCAGGATCAAACAGAAGATTCATTCACCCACTCTTACCTGCCTTGCAAGTACAAGACCCATCCACAGGAGAGCAGACAGCATCATTCTTACAGCCACAGCGAGAGGAACAGTTTACACCATAGGTTCCCAGAGGGCATGGGGTAGAGCAGTCAATTCCCTACATCAGCACAAATAGCAAAATGCAGACTATTATGGCAACTGGAATCAAACCAACACAAATAAACAAAAGTATGTTTTGGCAATGCTAAAAAAAGGCAAAGTAAAAAATTATACATGTATATATATGCTTAGAGAAAGCTAAATATGCTTCTTCTCTAATTTTAACATACTATGTAACTTTAAAGTTGCTGTAATGTCAACACCACTATACAAATTTTTAGATATTCAAGTATAATACTGGCTGACTTATGTTTAGTATAGAATATTAAATGAGATCCAAAAATAGCCTGCTGCCTTCATTAGATTTGTCTTCAGAGCAGAACTAAAAAATAAACCTTTCATCCTTGCTCAGACAAGTAGATATCTAAAAATAAATTGCAGCTGTAAAATTACTGTCGATAAATATACAAACACAAATATGAACTATGCATTAGTTTCCAACATTTCTTCGACTTCCTGGTATATTGTGAAATATTACTAGTGGGTGAAACAAGCAACACTCAGCCAGCAACGCGATTCAATTTATCCAATAGTGAGCAGTAAACACAGAATTGAGCTACAAAGGTGACTGGAGGGCATCTCCTTAAATACACACAACATATAAACACACACACACACACACCCTACACCACACCACACCACACCACAC